GAAAGGCATGGGGTTTGGAGTGGATACTCAGATCCCTGAATATTTGCATAAAACAGGAAGTCAGAATTTTTAGACTGAATATGGTTGTGATTCATGGCGTTTGTGCTCAGCTCTGGTGGTCTTTTGCAATGACTAGTGTGAAAAGACAACGTAAACTAATAAAAAGAACGTGCTTCTGTGGGTGTGCATTACTTTCTCTGGTATAATGAACATTTGCTTTGAGGAGTCATTCGTTACTGCTATTTGCAAGTTTGGATTGTAAAGTTTTTTTCAGTTTCTCTCTTTGCCCTGGCTTCCACATTCTGTGTATTTGAGTGATGTGTGTCCAACTGTGCATAGCCATTACTCACTCTCAGTTACTAGCATGGAATGCTTGGGCAGAGGTTTCACTGAGGAACCCTCACCACAGGGGCTGTGCTCTCTTCTGAACAGTCCTTGCTTTCTAACCAGCACCAATGACATTAAATTTGTGTGTTCTCACATTTTAAGCCCTCAGTCTTTCAGGTGTATTGTAGGTCATTAAGGCTGCCTGAGTGGGGAAAACCACTTTCTGTGATCTCTTTAATACTGCAGGTGCCAAGCTAAAGACTTGAGCTCTGTCTGTGGCAGAGTGGTGCAGAAGGAACTGAGCCTGGAAACAGCCAAAGCTCTGCTTTGTGGTTCATCCAGGGAAAAGGAAACAGCTGAACTTTTCCATTGTGCTGTTGCTGTCTTATGACAGATGCCTTGAGCACAAGCTGGGCCTGGAATGGCTCCAGAATTGCAACTCAAAATGGGAGATCTCCACCCATATCTTTCTGGCATGTTTGTTGTGTATTTCTCCCTGGAGCTGTGGTTCCTGAGGCAGATCAGGCTGATTTCCCTGTGTAGTGGCAGCCAGAGGGGAAGTTCGGCCCTGTCTCCACACTATCCCACCAGCTCCCTCCATCCACAGTTGTGCAGTGATATATTTACAAGCTAGAGGAAACATATAAGGAAGTCTAAGCAAAAGGGGACACACTGTAAAAAGACTCAGAAAAGGGAGGAAAAAGCAATGACTATAAATGATGTCATCTCCCTTTAATTGTGACTTGGGTCTCTGCTGTACTGACTTAATATTCCATTACAATTTTGACAGTCTGGCAACTCTATAATTAGGGTGTAATTTATGAGACTCCACCTCTAAGCACTTCTCCTGCCTTAAGTAAGAATTTCTCTCTGCAATTGGAGTCCAGGTATTTTCCTATGTGGTATCATGCCTTCCAGCAGTTTATTTAGGAAAACTTACTGGCATGATCCCCTGCTCTACAAAAATTACAGACCTTTTGTTTGTGTTCTGTGCTGGGCGGTGATAGGTCTCATCTCACTCTTTCTTTACTAGAGCAGGACGATTAGTGTGTTAGTACTGGCAGAGCTAATATTTTGCAATGAGCTCTTCTTTTATACCTTGAAGAGAGATATTTTGCTCTGTGCCATGGGACAGAACATATTTTTTCCTTGGTGAAAAAGTTTTGTCTTTACACTGAATAGCACATTGCTGATACCATGTCCAGAAGTGCTCCCCTCTTCATGAAAACATAGAAGTTTGGGTTTTCAGTCTTGTGACTTTTGGGAAAATTCAGGCTGTTCACTAATGACTTGTAAAGACCTTACCTAGAGTTCTGCAAGCAAGGTTTGAGATCTTACCTCATATTTGCTGCTGAAGAGAAAAGATTTTGCAGCAGCTTTTTATCACCAGATGCAAGATGTGAGTATATATATGTTTTTTGGAAGATATCTCAGAATTTTATTCTATGTCATTACATTTTCTGTTTTGAACAGTAGTGTGCAGGAGCTGTAGCTGTTGGTTTTCAAGTAAGATGCATTGGAAAAATTTGTCCCAGGAGTATGCTGAATCCTGCTCACTGAAGGAGGATAGAATAGAACAGCCTTAGAGAGAATGTCAAGCTTTCTGCTGTGGGTTTGGTAGTGTTGGGGGTCTTCAAGTTTTGTCATTAGGTTTTTTTCTGCTCTCTCTCCCTTACCCACCAGATCTGGAAAAGTGCCTGTGAACAAAAAAGGAAGCATTTAAAGAACTGTGATGAATGAAACAAGTCAGAGGATGAGGAAAAGGGATCTTGCTTCCCTGTAATCATGGCTGAAGTTACATCTAATCATATTTGTTTCCTTGAGTGGTGGGAACATCATCCTATAATTGGGGTCCTGATCAAATTTGTCATTGGACTTCTATAGCTGGCTAATGAAGGTGATCACCCTGTAATTAGTCTGTGTGCCTTTCCTTTCTGTACGTATTTGAAATGTAATGCACATCACCTTCGGTCATGTTCCTTCCTGTGGTGAGGGTAGCAATCTCTGCCCTTGCAGGTGTGTGCTTCTGACAATACAGTTTGTGAGGCATGTTAGGACTCTGTTCTTGGCTTACTATTTGGCCCAGGGAAAACTTTTTTTAATTCAGAAGGTTATTTGTGTCCTTCTGTCCTATCTTAAAGTTTATGTTGAAATTAATGAAACTTAGGAGACAGACCCCTCTCTGTTTGGAAGCAACAGGGTCGCTCTTATTTCCTCTTAGATTCAGGCTTCCCTAGAACTCCCTCTTGCTTTATTTCAGTAAATAGTTTTGTCTTTAAAAAATACCCCATAGAATATAACTTGAAACATAAATCTTAAGTCAGTAATAATCTGCTTGCTTTCCTAGTAATTTTCTTACTGGATCTGGGGTCAGTCACATCTGTGTGATGTGAAGAAAACCCTGATGCTGTGCACACCTAAGTCACTTCCCTGGAAGTGCCATTTCCTATTGGCAGAGCACATAGATATCAGAAGGGAAGAGATGAATCTGCACCACACAGAACAAGAAAATTCCTTCAAAGATAGTTGCAGATTAACATAATTTAACTTGTTACCAACTACACTGTAGCATGGTGGGGAGGGGAACAAGCAAAAATTTGGGAACTAGCAACTCATTCTAAAAGTTGTTTCACTTGAATACACTGCAAGTTGAGACCCTCTTTTAGCAATTAAACTCAAGAAACTTTGCCTTCCACTCCATTGTGTAGGCATTTTAATGTACCTGTGACCACAGTGATGTTTCACAGCAATTTTTATTTGTACAGTATTCAGCATCTATGAATGGATAAATACAGTGACAGTTTTGTGTAGAATTTTCTTTGTCAAGTGTTGATTATATGACTAATTTAGACCTGAACTACAAGAAAATGCATTTTGAGGTATCATTTGGAAAAAACCCAACTAAGTTACAGTGAACAGGGAGTACTTAGAGTGGAAACTAAGACATGAAACATGTTGCTTAGCCAGCAATGCAGGATTTGCCTCATGAGACACTTGTACAGGTGTGAAAGGTAAATTTAGGTTGGGTTTTTCAAAGAGCCAAAGTCACCTTTTGAAATTTGGCAGTGACTAATGTTCTCTTAATTCTCGTGCCTGTATATGAAAACATAAATCTTGACTCCTAATCCCCTCCGTAAGTTGACATCCACAAGTTGCTGTGACCATCAGTGCTTCTTTACTCCTTATCAACATTTTAAAACAAAGTACAAAAAATAAATACAGCATTGAATAATGACCAAAATTTAATTATCTGTTTTCTAGCACTGACATTGTTTTTTCTTCTCCAAAGAAGGTAATTTTGATAAAGCTGTCACTATGTGGTAGAAGTGTTAAAAAAAAAAAAAACAAAACAAAACAGAAAAGGAAGCCAGTTGCCATGGCCTAATTACCTCTGCTTGATAAAACCATAAATATTACAACTTGAATTAATATAGTTAACCATTTAATCCTTATTTCATCTTTGGGAATTTTGTGGATCTTAATATAACTATGTAATAAAGTACATAAGATTAAGAAATTAACTCTTAGTTTCATAAAGAGAAATTAATAAAAAAATTCTGAGAATTTTTGCCATAGTAAATACTAATACTGAATGTTGCCTTTCAACGTTTTCAACCATTTCAACAATTTTAACAAATTGTTGCCTTTGGGAGTCACTGCCTGCTAACAGTGAAACTGTTCTTCTACTGTTTCCTGGGATCACATTCATTTTAATAGATCACAGTGACCCTGAAATGTGAGTGAATGTCTACGTGACCTAAGGTCTAAGCTGCTGGAGGTTTCCATTCCGGAGCTCGGAAGATGAACTCAAGTGGGGTCTTATTTAGTCCCCTTGAGCCATCAAGTGTGCAGTTGCAGAGTTTTTCCATGACGCTGACACTTGCAGCTCTACAACAGCCCTTTTTTCTAAGATCCTTTTCTCATCATCAGGGAAGGTTTTGTTTTGTTTTGTGCAATGCAAAGCATTGCTTTGGAGGAAAATCAAGGGTGGAGAAAGCAGAGGAATACAACAAAGCTTCCCGATATGTTTCCCTGATGGAGTGCCGAGGGTCTGATGTGCTTCAGTGGTTTGTACTGAACATGAAAACCTGTCTTTGTGGGCATGGAGGTGATTCCCAAAAAATGAATAGAATAGAAAAATGTTAAGCCTTGCAAACTGCTCTATTGCTGTAAACAAAACTCTCACGTAAACTGACTAACTACAAGAGCGTCTTCCATTGCTTTGCTGTTCATTTCTGCGGTACCTGAATGTGTTTATTTCACTGAAACCCAGGAGCAGCGATAGTCCCGTTGCTCAAAACAAAGGCAACACTCAGCGACAGAGGAGCCCAGGTGTTCGGGTAAGACAGGCATTAACGGCTATTTTAACATTTTTTGATAGAAAACCTGTTTCCATTACGAGAAGAAGAACGACTCGGAGGAGGGGTGCCAGCGCCTGTACCCAAAGGGCGGTGGGCTGGGCACGGCGGGGCGACAGCAGCTCCCGATCGCCGCCGCCGGGGCCCGCCCGAGGCGCGGGACGGAGGGAGCGGCTGGGCCCGGCCCGGCCCCTCCGGCGGCGGGCGGGAAGGGGCCGAGGGAAGGAGCGCACACCGCCCCGGCCGCCGGCGGAGCCGCCCTCACCGCGCTCGGACGCGCCCACGCCCGGCCCGAGGCTCAGGCCGCAGGGGCCGGACCCCGGCGGGGCAGGAGGAGGAGGAGGAGGTGCAGGACCATGCTGGCGGGGCTGGGCCGGGCGCTGCGCGGCGACAGGCGGCGGCTCCCGCTGCTGCTGGGCAGGCGGGATGGCTGCCCGCCGCCCTCAGCGCCTCAGGTAAGGCGAGGAGCGGGCGAGGATCCCCGCGGGACAGCGGCGGGAAGAGGCGGAATTGCCCCTCGCTGCTGCTGCCCGTCTCTGCCCCGGGGTGCGGCGGGGCCGCAGGGGGACAAAGCTGGGGACAAGCGTCACGGCGGCCGGGCCGGGGCCGCGCGGGCTGCGGGGTCGGTCCCGCCGCTCCCCTCGGCTGCCCCGGGCGGGGCCGTGCCCGGCGGGGCGCGGGGACTGACGGGCGGCGCCGGCCGGGCCGGGGGCTCTGCCCCGAGTGACTCACGGGCTGCTCTGTCAGCAACCAGGAGTAAAACGGAGAAAAAGTTTCGCTTGCGGGCTGTCGTGCTGCTGTTGCTGCTGCTGTACGTGAAGTGCTGAAGTCCACCTGTCTCTGAGCTTCTCCAGGCTTTCAGACGTCCCAGAGATCTCTGTGATTAGGAACAATAAAGGCAAGCGTGAACGCACAGTCGATTTAAAGATCTGCTGGCGCGTAGGACTGTGATATTGAGAGATATTGTGAATTGTGATATTAATTTCTGGGAGAGGAGGCAGTTTGATCCTTTTTTTAATGTTCTTAATAATAGAGATATGCCCTGCGTATGCTTGGAAACAGTGCTGTGATGGAACACAACAAAACCCCGTCCCTGCGTCCGGGGCCCTCCCATAGCAAGGAAGTTGCTGGGGTGTGTGGTGACATCCCAGAAGGAAGTCCAGGGCGATCTGGCGCTTGTTATTGAGCAGCTTCCACAACCCGTGTCTCGAAACCTGCGGCAATGGGTGGAGTTGAGTTGTACGAAATGAACTTTCTACTTTTTCTCAGTATTTTTTTCTCAAACTATTCAAAAAGCCTATTACAAAATTCCATTGCATTAATTTGCCCCACATCCCTTAATGCGAATAGTCCTCCTTTGCTTTCTCATGCCTGTATATGAGGACTTTTAAATAGGGAATTTAAGATAAATATTGACTTAGCCTCCTTAATCTTCTGAGGTTTCAGCGGGGCGTGCTGAAAACACCTTGCACCTCGCTGAGAGGGTTTACACTGTCATTCAGCACACACTGACACTACCTATTCAGTTTGACACCTCTGACTTCTCCAGGGTACTAGCTTTGCAGGAAAGCTTCGTGCTTTTCTAAGGCTCTAAATCGAGACTGAAAGCTGATAAAGCTTTAACAAGATTAACCAAAAATGAGAGGACAAGGAGGAGGTGGAGGAGGAAAAGCTCTTACTTTGGCAGCACTGTCATAATAAGAAAGAGCAAAAAAATGATCGTGTCTGATACTTTGTGGGATAGAATGACAGTGGCATGCATTGGGAATTAAATTATTGCACCAAATAGGTGAAGCAGAGAGATGTTGTAATGTTGAGGAAAAATCTAATTGGGAAAAGTGTTTAATACAAGATTTGGTTTATTTAATAAGACTAAATTTTTGGAATAAGTTAATATACAATACTTTTGGTGATCTCTGCAGCTTGGTTCATACTATGTTTGGTGATGGGAATCAGTCTACCCATGTGCCTTTTGGGGCCTTGACTGGAGTTTCCACTCAGAAAGCTGGAGGTGGTACATCAGTGGCCACACAAGATTGTAGGATGTGCACTTGGTCATCACATACTGCAAGTAACTCAGGTGTTGATGGGTAGGTGTGTGAATGCACAGTGTGTTTGTGTGCTGTGTTTTTGACTCATAAATACACAGCTGTAGGGATAAATGAGCCATTATTGCTAATTTGCTGTAATTTTTTTCAGGATTACAGGATTACAGCAGGGATTGCTGTCCAAAGGAGCTGTATTTTTAATCATTAGCTTTTCAGCTCTACTTTTAAATGAGACCTTCAGCTCTGTCATTAGCTGCTTTGCCTTTCGGATTGATGCTTGTACAAATTCTGCATTTTGTAAAATTGCGGTTTTTGTTAGGTGGGGCTTTCTGTATTTTAAGTGGTTAGTTCTTAGTCAGACTGGCTGCCTGGGATGTCCTGTGACTGTTGCTTTGGCAAGAGTGTGTTAGAAATCTGGACAGCAGGCTATGTGCAAAAGAGAAAAGGGCTTAGCCACGTGGGCAGTTTTTCAAACTAACTGAATCACATTGCATTGTATTCTTTGGACAGGCATTCTTATTACACATAATTTCATTCCCCAAAGGCTGCAGCTCATTTTGCTAGAGTCCCAGATTTGTAATTCTGCAGTTATTTTGTATGTGGTAGAACCTAAAGGTTGCCAGCTCTTTGGCTTCCTCTTGACTTGCATGTTTTAACTACTGCAGCTCACGCTGAAAGAAATGCCCTGCTTGCACTGCTCTCCGTGAGGAATGTCTCCCCTCACCATATCTCAGTGGAGAATGCATTTGTTAACATAGAATCAAGGCTTTAAATTGCTGGAGGTGTTTGTGGGGTTTTTTGTTCGGTTTTGTTTGGTTTGGTTTTGTGGGGGTTTTGTTTGGGGTTTTTTGTTTGTTTGTTTGTTTGTTTAATTCATAAACCTTCTAAGCCAGGAAATATTGAAGGGACTGGATTTAATTTTTTTTTTTCAGATGGTCCTAGTTAGTTTTCTATAGTGCTGAAACCTACTGGTCTAAAATTGTGTTTCTTTTTATGGCCATTCATGTAGGTGAGGTTTCCGGTTTAGTCTGTACTGTGGAGATCTCTACCAGCATGCCTACATTGCTTAGGATGGGTGGCAGCCATGGAAAATGAAGAAATCTGTGTTCCATGTTTTTTCTTAGCTTAAAACCAGGTTTCTTTGCAGTCACACAGCCCTGTGTCTTGCTAAAACTGGTTTTTTTCCTGTGTGAAGGTGCTGGAATAGTGACATTTCCTCTGCAAAAGGCAGGGCTTGCTTTAAACAGGTGTTAGTGAGAGAAGTAAAATGGGAAAGCTTGAATAGTTTCCAAAATTTAAATTTATTTAGCATCATTAATTTAGAATGCATTCCATTTCTATGTGCAAAATTATCTTAAAACTGTGCCTCTGGAGTATATTGGCACAGGGAAAGATCGTGTGTAAGCTTGCAAGAGCAAATTGCAAAGGCTTCTGTGAAAAACATTATGGATTTATTTTCTTCCTTGATTGGGATATTGCGTATGCTTGTTGCTGAGGGGAATTTTCTTCCTAGCTGCAAACTGCAGTCAGTAGGAGAGTCATTGGGTTTATCTGCAGAAAGCAGAGTAGTGAGCGTTTTACTTTTGGGGCTTTTTTTTTGGTCAGTTCCTAATGTCATCCATATCTGTCAAAAATATTTTTTGCAGTGCTTTCAGCTGATAAGTTTTTGACTACCCGGTTCCTCAGACAGGCTTGAACTTTTTTCCAGTCCTTCCTGTTGGTTTTTATAGTAATTCTTACTCCTAAATTACCATAATTCTCCTAGCATTACACCTATCCAGTTTGTCCTTCAGTTTTATACTCTTATAGCAAGGATCTAAATGTGTCCTAATAGCCACTTGATAATTCTATGGAGGTTTTTAATTTTGCTTCTTTCTCTTTTGCATATGATCTGCTGCTGGGATTTCTAAGATATTCTGACAAACAGCACCCCCAGGACATCGAAACAGCAACCCCAGATCAACTACAGAGATGCAGATTGGCATTGAGTGTCTTATGCAGCCAAATATTTCACATAAATGTGGTTTAAGTCCCTGCTTTTTATTTTCAGCCCACTCAAGTCATTTGGAAATTGAAGTCTAATTGGAGCCAAGAACTGGGTGTAATTTATGGCTGCTGGGCGTGTTTTCCCTTGTCTTTCCTCTACTTTGAAAGCCTTGCGCAACAAAAGTTAGCTTGTTGGTCCAAATCTTCTTTTCCAAACAGAAGCCTCCCTCTTATACTGGCATATATCAACAAAAACATGCTAACTGCTGAACTGTTTGTTTATGGAAGTACTGTTCACTCTTTCAATACTAATTTCTAAATGCCTTAGAAAAGCCTATTTAGAAGATATCTGGTGCTTCTGCTGCAAAAAATTTTCCTGTCTCAGCAAGTTCATGTTTTTGACTTCGCTACTGCGTCTGTGCCAGAATAACAGGGTGGCACTGAGATGGCTGCTAGTCATTTGCTGTTGTCTCTTCTCATCTGGCAGCTGGGAGATGACTCTAATTTCCCTGGTAAATACACTTTTGGGGAGAGATGTGATATATAGCACAGAAATTCATCTCTCCTCGTACTTCTGCAGATACTCCCATTAACTGTTTTTCTGTGTCTTCTCTCTCCAGTACAGATGCTGTAGTAACTTAGTGGGCTGTGAGATACTGTTGTACATGCATATAAGATTACCTGCAAGACGCTCATTCCCTTAGAGGTTTGGGAAGCTTCTAATAACCAGCCTCACTCAGGGTTTGAAACACATGTCAACAGTGAGACTTCAAACTCTTGGTGTTGTTTTCCAGTGGGGCAATTGACAAAAATTCAGCTAATTGAGATGTGTAGATCAAATCTGATTTTCTTGCATAGTGTGTTGCTTTTTGCCTACTCTGAGTATCAGCAGATGTATGTCTTTCGTGGTTGTGTGAATATGGCAATTCCAAAGGTAAGGAAAGGAAAACCAGCTCCTGCAAGGCTGGAAAGGGTGCAGTCATTCTCTTCAGCATCATAAGCCTAAGGAAGTTAGAGCTTTTGTGTGCTAAGTCAGGGCTGTGTGGTACTGCAGGAAATGTAAAGGAAACTGAAATGCTGGTCTAAAATGGTTGTCCATAGCAAAATCTATGTTTACATCTGTGTTTAATTCTTAAACAGATTTCTTGAATAGCTTTCTCATGTGTGATACAGGACTGTGCTTCCCAAAGTTTGGGAAGTACATTACTCCAAATATATTCAACAGGTTTACTGTAAAGGAAAATAAAAATGTATATAACTTCCTGTTAATAGTAACTTTTTTTTAATATGTAATTTAGAATGGGGATAGAAATAATCATAAGGTGATACCTGTAATGGGTGCTCCATGATGAATAAAGTAGATGACAGAAAATGATGCTGTGATTTCATTTGCAGTGCATTCTGTGATCATACAAACAATG